AGCGGGGGAGTGGCCGGGGAGCCCCTTCTCCTCCCGCCCCGGGTGCTCCCCGCAGGTCTGGGTAGAAAATGCCGGGTTACGGCTCATTTTGCGGGCTCTTCTTCCTAAAGAAAACTCTTTTCCAGTTCACGTGGACCGGTACCACTTCTACTTCGACATCACCGCGATGGAGAAGGGCGAGCAGGTGCTGAAAGCCGAGTTCAGGGTCTTCAAGCTGAAGAGGACACAGGTGTCCCTATCTGATGTGAAACACTTTTGCAAAGTAAGTGGGGAAATAATCTATTAGTTAAACGCTTACTTGTTCTTTTGTTATTAATAATACTGAAAATGAGGAGTACAACCACTTACCACACAAACCTGCTTTATTTTTGGTTTTATTTGATACCTGTCCTCACTGTTTCCCTTCTTCCACCGTGCAAAGTGAGTAGGCACAAGGTTTTGGCCTTGGCAGTATGCTGTCCTTTGCACTCTATGGCAGGGAGCTCTCCCTAAGATACTCATGTACCTATTCAAACCGTGCCGTACTTTTCTGGGGTTTGATGTTTTGAAATTCGCATCGAAATTTATCTCCTTCTACTGCTCTACAGATTAATAATAGCAACAGTGGGTTCATAGGGAAATAGGGCAGGTGAGGATTCTGACACTGAGTGTGGCTGTTCTTTTGGGACAAGGCAGGATTGGACTTTTGCAGACCTGGAGACAAAGGTGTGGCAGAACAGAGGACTGTTGTGGTGTCACATCAAAATAGAAAGAAAAGGGGTGGTCAGGATATTTTTCCGTAGTGTCAAACAATCCAGTATTCTGCCTCTGAACACACCTACAAGTAGACGTATGTAGCAATACTTGTTTTTTTTCTGTTAAACTATACAGAAAACTAATTTTTCCTAGGTTTAAATGTGCAGTTTTACAGTTATGATATAGTAGAAATGTGCATAATCTTCATACTACTGGTTTTGCTGGAAGAACAGTTGCTTTCATTTTTGTTTTGTTGTATTGTTCTCTTGAAGGTGGAAGTGTATGAACTCTTGGAGAGTGGAAGTAAGCCACAAAAAAAACATCTCATTGCATCAAGATTATTGTCCCTGTACACAGAAGGCTGGGAAGTATTCAACGTCACACAGACAGTAAGCAGAGAACTCTGACTTAATTTTAATTGTAAACCTCTTAGGATGACAGTCAGCTTATAACTCCATCATTGCCCTTATTCTGGGTTTTCTGGTCAATACAAACTGAAGGAGTGAAGCAGAAGGAGCAGCTTTTTCTCTACACTTAAAAGTACACCTGAATTAAAGGAGAAGTGTTTATGTGCTGCTAGCAGCAGAGGCACAGTGAGAAGCGAGTAACCCAAACCTAGTCGATAGGAGGGACATCAGGCCAAGTATGTCATTGTGATTAAAACACATTAGTCCTTAGGCTGCCAAAGGAGATGGCATTAATTGTGTGCTAAGAGTAGGTTTTCATTTCTCCTTTTCATTCTGGTGTCATTACTGCAGAGCAGATGTGCAGTGTGTTTTAGCAGTTGTGTTTCTGGAATTTATCACGGTCCGACTGTTTTTCTTTTAACTTCCTCTGTAGACTTCTTTATTTGTCAGTTTCAGGATTTCTTTTGTTGTTGTCCTTAAACTGTAACGATATGTGAATTCCTTTCCATACCAAAAAAACAAACGTGGTTTAAAACATAGTTCCTTGGGTTTAAATCTGGCTCTTGAACAGTGCTTTTTCATTGCCTAAGCTTTATGATCAGACTGAACTGTTTGGTTTGGTTGAGCAGCATCCAAAGTCAGGATAGCTCTGCTTGAGAGTGGCCTTATCTATCATCAGTTAGCCACACTATTAATCTGTAATTACAGAGATTAGATAAAGTAAATTTGCTTGACTGTGAGTTAATTTCTTCAAAAGCCATAATTGTTAGTTTTAAATGAGTTTTAATGGTATGGAATTCTGGAGAGTTTGTATTATTCTAAGATTACTATGAAAAATCAGTTCCTGGCTAAAGTCAGAGAGGATTTATTTAATGTTAATTTTAACACCTAGATTCATCTATTCACTAGTAAATTTTCTGAAATTAATTATCTTCCTGTAAATGTAGCTTTGGGGAATTAATACAGTATTTTGGATTTTTAAATGTTGGGTTACTGGTTTAGATATTGAACTCAATTGTGTCTCAGCTACACAGTTACCTCAGTTCTGTTGTAATACTTGTTCTTATACTCTCATAGCTTGTTGCCTGTTCCCTAATATAAACATTGCTTAATTGCAGTGCTCTAACAAGAATATGGACAAGAATATTTCCATATTGTCCCTATGTAACAAGAACATTAAACATTACTTCATTTCCCTGTCGCTACCAGGTTTCCAAGTGGGTTGGAAACAGCAGCTCCAACCATGGCTTTTTGATAACTACAACACATGTATTCAACAACAGAATTGAGCACAACCTGGTTAAGTTTGCTAAGAGCCAGCATGCTTTGCAGGAGAGTAGAAATGCTCTTCTTGTCCTATTCACCAACAGTAATAAGAGGAGATCTTCCAGCTTTGTACCCTCTTCCACAGGTAAGTTTGCATGAGAGGGCAGTAGCTCTGTGTTAGAATATGAACTCCCTTTTCGTCTTCTGTTAGTTTCTGCTGCATCCTGTATACCTAATATCAATATTTACTTCCAGTGTTGAACAGATTTGAAGTTCAGCTTTGCCACTGATCAGTTTGATTTCATAGTTCTTGCTAGTAGGTCACCCAGCATCTTAAGTTGCCTCTCCCCTCAGAAAAAATGTGCTTGCAGGAAATATTCAAAAGTCCTAGGGACAATCTGGTTTATTTGCTTTGTAAAAGGGTGGAAGTTCTTTTTTTTTTTAATTACTATTTATATTTTTGTGGTGGTGAAGTTTGCATGAAAATTATAGATTAGGGTTAGGCTAAAAAAAACCTCAGTGACCTGGAAAGCTTTGTAAAAATGCTAGTAAAGCAACTGTAAGTGCTGTTTTCAAGAGTGGAAGAGGTTGTTAAATAAGCAATTTAAACCTCTCCGTCCCTGGATTGGTTTTTAAGCACCTGTTTAACTTCAGTGACTAATTAGCATTGTGACTAAAGGCTGCTTCCCTCCAAGACAACGCCCTCATCCATTAAATCACAAAGCACAATGTTTTACCTCTCTCGCGGGTCTTGCAGTAAAACCAAGTAAGGCTGGATTTTAGAGTCCAATAAATGCAAAGAGCAAAAAAGCTAGCAGGAGGGGCAAAATTTTTTATGGTTTGAGTGTGTAGGGTTTTCTGGTAAATATTGCGTTTGCATGTTAGAAAGAAACCATATAGGACTTGCATCAATATTAAGAAGGAGGTGGTGAAATGGATTTAAAAAAAAAAAAAAGAGGCTGACCTGTTTATTTTTAGTTTTCCAAAGAAAAATGTTTTTTAGTGAAATCCTAGATCCCAGTTTAATAAGCATCAAGCTCTGTATGGGATACTATGCCAGGACTGGGAAATTCTTACCCATTTCTCAACAAAGAAACTCCGTAGTCCTGCCTGCTGTTTGTGGTCAGTGAATCTGCACAGATTGTTCTTCCAACAGCCTGTGTATCAGTGATATCCAGCCTCTGTACATGGATCTTGAGGTCTCCATGGACATCTATCAAAGCTTCTCAGAAGACACTTTAAGAAAGAAAAGAAAAAAAAAAAATTGTTAGTAAACTACATTGTCTTGTAGAGTTCTAGAAACCTGGTGGTAATTTCTTCAATTCCAAAAATTACAAAAATATTTGTAAAGATACTATTTTACAGGAACACACTCTGTTTTCCAAGGGTATGGGTGAGGATATAGGTAAGGTTAAGGGTATGGGTAGTAGAGTTCCTGAGAGAATACTGGAGAGAGAAAAAGCCTGGTATCTCCAACCCCCTGCTAACACTGCTCAGCATGATATGTGTTTTTTTAGATGTGACTGTATATACCATTCTGATCAAATTCAGCCCTGAAAAGGGCCTGTGGGGTTTCACAGAATATATTTAGTATATCATTGAGCTTTTTCCTTTATATTTCTGCTGAGTTGAAGCCTTTCAGGCCACAAAGTGAAACAAGATTTGGCAGATTTTGAACTATTACTGAAATAGCAGTTGGGTACATTTAGTATATCATTGAGCTTTTTCCTTTATATTTCTGCTGAGTTGAAGCCTTTCAGGCCACAAAGTTGAAACAGAAGATTTGGCAGATTTTGAACTACTACTGAAATAGCAATTGGGTACACACCCCTTCTGGTACTTTCACACTTTTAAGTGTCATTTTAAAATGTACTCTGAAGACTTGAATGTAGATTTATGGAACAGGCTTTCAGGCAGAATAAGGTACTCAGGAAATTAATTTGTTTTGAGAAAGACTAACATGCAACTCCTTTCAGAACCAGAGAAGAACCCTGCCAAAACCAACGCTGAAACTCAGCTTATCAGAAGCAGCAGCGCAGGCGTGAGGAGGAGACCTCGAGCTGCTGCAGGCCCTCCTGCCAAAGGCCAGGTAACAGCATGTCACCGCAGGGAGCTCTACGTTGACTTTGGTGCTATTGGCTGGTCAGGATGGATTATTTACCCAAGTGGATACAATGCATTTTATTGCAGGGGATCCTGTCTCTTCCCCTTGGGGGAAAGTCTAAATGCAACCAACCACGCTACAGTTCAGTCCATAGTCCATACACTTAAACTGTCTGAAGATGTCAGCACACCCTGCTGTGTGCCAGATGAATTGAAGTCCCTCAATCTTCTCTACTTTGACGACAAACAGAACGTGGTCCTTAAAAATTATAAAGACATGGTGGCAAAAAGGTGCGGTTGTCATTAGCAGGACTTTTTTTTTGTCTGTGTTTGTCATGCACCTGGATTTCATTCCCTATTTGCCACTAAAGATACAAAGGGAGACTGCATTTCAATCTACAGGGCGGGAAAGCCAGAAACTCAGCTGCGCTTCAAATGCTGCTCTAATGTTGGCTTTCGAAGAGCTGTGGGCTTCTGGAGGGCGTGCTGACCTGCATGGAGAGCTCTTTGACTGCCTCTACACCAGAGGAAACCATTAAACCAGGAACTTGCTGTTTGAACGAGTTGAAACACATGGAGTGTTCAAATTAAGGCCTTGTTCTGCATCCTGAGACTCAGAATTTCCTGTGATCTAACAGGCGTGGTCCCCTGCCTCAATCCAGGAGAAGGTGCAGGCCTCTCAGTAACACAGCCTTATTCAGTTTTGACTGCATGATCCAGTGGGGATGTCGACTCCTACAGAGAGTGTTTGCCCAGAGCTGATCTCTGAGGCCTCTGCTGTCTGCAGTTCGTGCATTACCCAGAGGCACTTCTTCCCCCTGTTCTTCCTGCAGCTCTGCCAAATGCAGAGACCTCCTTCTAAGTCCTGCTGGGACTTGCTTGCCAGTCTGAGGGAACACACAAGTCATTATTTTTCTGGGAATCGGTGAGCTTTGCTTCTGACCTGGGGCTGTGCCTCTGTGTGATGAGGGGTCAGCTAGTCCCCCTCTTTGTAAAATCATTCTCTGCCACCATGGTCAGCTGTGGCTTTTGGGTGCTGTGGCAGCAGAGATTGCCTTTGTGTGTTTGCACAGTGGCTGTACAGTGGGATCCTAAGCTTGGGTCAGAACCCCCATAGTTTAGCAGGAAGAAAGAAAGTCATTAAGCTTTGGAGGCCCATCAGAAGATGATGGATGCTGGCATGGTCCTGTATCTGAGACAAGTTTGATGGAAGTGATCTGATTCACTTCCATTCTTCCTTGAGGAGCAGGACACAGACTTGGAAAGAGCCCCCTGAGGTCTTTCAGTCTTACTACAATCTAATGCAGGTAACCAGCCCATTGCAGTAACTGAGTTGTAACTTTTGCCTGGTTAGGTGTTTTGTCTCTATTAATCCTTGAAGGACGCTGACTTCTCACAGAAGGTGACATGTCCTGTGGGTAGAAACTTCATGGAGAATTTTTTTTACTCCAGTGAGATTAAAAAAGAAAAAAATAAAATTATTTACGTATATATTTTTCCTTCTGTAAATACTGATGTCTGTAATAAATTTTTATTTTATTTAAAACCAAACACTTGGAGTATATTAATTTAATCTATAATCTAAAGTGTTAATTTCCAAATAAATGTAATGTGACTTGGTCTGGGGTTTTTGTATTGTATTTGAACGTATGTGTTGTATTTGTGGTATTCATAGAGTCGTGAATCAAATACTTCTCCAGAAGAGAGGATATTCCCAATGGCTTCAGTGGGCACAGTCTCAAGTCCCCCAACTCCACACTGAGGAGTGTGATGGATAAGCAAGATAGATTGGGTTGGTCACATGTGCTTGTAGAAAAGCCTACCTCATGGAGGTCCTGAACTTAACATACCTGAGATGGTTTAAATTCTTCTTGGTGTGAAAGGCCTTATTTTCTTGTACATTGTAATATCTTGGGATGTCTTCATTAAACTTGCACTAAGTGTGTAGGCCAGGCATGTGCTTAGGGAGCTACAGCCTGGAATGGGTGGAGTGGAGGAGCCTGAGCACAACAAGGTTTTGGAAGGAAAGGACGGCGTGCACGGGTCAGTGTGCAGCAAAGGGTTTTCTCCTGCCTAGTTGATTCTCTGGAAGGCTGCAGAGGCTGTTATATCAGCAGAGCTGTGACCTTCCAATGTCAGAACAGCTCCAAGAGCAGGTCTGTTAGGAGCAAAAGGCTTGATTCCCCCAAGCCAGGGAAGCAGGGGGTGGTAGGGCTTCTGTATGTCCATCCAGCAGATCATGTGGTGAGCTGGTGGGGTGTGAACCATATGATACAGGCACTCCAGCATGACTGTCAAACCTGCTGTGTCTGCCCAGCATGGCAGAGCAGAAGTGTTTCTCCTTTCTACAGAACAGCCCATCATCACTGTGCTGCTCACACTGCCATCCGGCAGATCACGTGGTGAGCTGGTGGGGTGTGAACCATATGATACAGGCACTCCAGCATGACTCTGTCAAACCTGCTGTATCTGCCCAGCATGGCAGAGCAGAAGTTTTCTCCTTTCTGCAGAACAGCCCATCATCACTGTGCTGCCCACACTGCCTCATGTTCACAATTCCCAGACAAATGGCCCAAATCTTCTGCGTACATAAAATTTCTAGCTCTGTGGTGTGTGTGGAGTATGTTTTGATCTTAGTATATGGTCATCCTGGTAAAATGCCATGGAAGTCTGTAGCAGGATGGTGCTAACTGCTCCATCAGCCACACCCAGCCATTGGACTCAGTGCCATTGTCAAAGGGACTTTAGAAAGCATAAAGGGTCTTCAAGGGTCGTAATCTCACTTTACTGGTTTTTTTTCCCAAGATGCTGTTTTGCATTTTTCACTGCAGAATGAAAATATCTGTGGCATTTAAAATCTGGAGGAACCACACCCTTGGGAGTGGGGAAAATGTATCTACAGTGAGAGTCCAGACAAAGTAATTTCTGAATGGTGACTTCAGCTGATGTTATCTATGCTTCTTTTGGTAGGGGCCCTAAGAACTGAAGCCAGAAGTTTTTGCTGCCAAATAATGCTGGGAGACTGCATTTGGAACAGACTGGCTGAGTCGGGTTCTGTGCCCACCACGCTCCAGTCTTCTGTCCATGAAATGACAAATGCTTCCAGCACCATCAGCTGTGTATCAGCTGCATCCTTTACTGCTCAACTCAGAGAATTGTCCATCTTTTACCAGGGTATCTTAACAGGCTTCTTGTTTCAGACGCTATGGAAAAAAAGGAAAAATATCTATTGCAAAGCAAGTATGATTAATAAATAAATGATGGGCATGCTGAATATTAGCTAGCATAGTGCTGCCTTACAATAGGTGAAATATGCACAGTCAAGCTAGGAGCACTCAGTAGTTTTGCACACATTAAATTATTCTTTTTCTGCACCACTCAACATAGTCTCATTACGCCCCATTAAACCCTGATAATTAAAACAAAATATATTGGAATTGTTTATCCTGGACTTTGTAAGGAAATTGGGTTCATAAGAATGCCAAGGGAAAAAATTTACACTACACCAGAACTTGTAATTAGAATAATAATTAAGCACAGGTATGATTTTTTTTTTTTCTGGTTAGAATAAAGGTATATTTTCATGTTATTTGTTAACTGAAGTAAGTCAGAATTCCAAAATAGCAATGCTACACTTTGGAGTCTTGATTTAATCAGAACGTCCTATGTTTAGGTGGCATACTGAAAAGCAGCAGCTAGGGTTCAGGAGGGAATAGGGGTAGCCCTCAGTGTGCATGCTCTGGGAGAGGATTAGTGGCTCAGATTGTGCATTATGCCACTCTGCAGCACAACAGCAGCACGAGAAAACGAGGCTGATCACAAACCCTCTTGTGGTAAAGACTGTGTGAGGACCAGCGAGGAGCACACCTGGCCCTGAAGAGCTCTCCTTGTGAAGAGCAGACACAAAAAGGAATGGACTGCAGATTTTATATGCAGGATGCCACCAAGAGCATCAACAGACACCCCAGAGACTGAAATTCGGAGGTATAGAGAGGAAGAGCCCCACGTTGAAGGGCTGAGAGCCTTGCAGCATTTCTTCTCTGCCGCCAGCCCCAAGCCTCACCTGAGAGCAGGCTGGGGCTCTCTCAGCCGGCTCAGCTGGTGCCTGGAAGCAGAATGCCCTATTAACCATTCACGGTGGTGCATCTGTACGGTGCTCAGCTCTGCAACTCAGGCTCTGCTGGCTTGGCTGTCTGACAGCTTATGGGTCTCTGCATCCTCTCCCCGGTATGGAATCAGCGTGGTTCTCTGCTGGTGAATAATACACCTTGCATTTTATACCCACAGGCGAAGCAGAATGCCCTATTAACCATTCACCGTGGTGCATCTGTACGGTGCTCAGCTCTGCAACTCAGGCTCTGCTGGCTTGGCTGTCTGACAGCTTATGGGTCTCTGCATCCTCTCCCCGGTATGGAATCAGCGTGATTCTCTGCTGATGAATAATAATACACCTTGCATTTTATGCCCACAGGCACGTGGAAAGCAGGATTTCAGAAGCAGAAAGACTCAAACAATGTTTAGAAGAGAGTTTATCACCATGGTAAAGCTGGAGGCTTATACTCAACCCCATGATAGTTTGGTCTACATTTGGAACTAAAGAGGTCTAGGTATGTGAGGTATGTGCAGTCACACCCATTCCTGCATGAGGTGGGGAGAGCACTAGACCCGGCCCTGACAGCACTACAGGGGGATGGGGGTGGGATCAGTATGTTGTGGGGGAGAGCTAATGATAAAGAACACAAATCCACAAGAGATCAGATTCCATGGTCTCCTGTTTGTAGAAATGTTTGTTTTAAGGGATTTTTCTGGTGCTCCTGTTAGGAGGCATAGATGATAGGGAGATGCTGCTTGGCACTGAAGCGCTGGGGGGGGCGGGTGTCGGGTGGAATATGCTGGGAACGTCCTGAGGCGGGTAAGGCAGAAGGGGTGGGCTCGGGGAAGTGGTGTGGGATGGTTGCCTTGGAGAGGGGAGGAGGTAACTTCAATGTGTCTGCCCGGAGGAAGCTGGAGCACAGCAGTGCTGTAAGCCGTTGAAAAGCCTCTACTCTGTTCTGTCTGCTCTGCAGCCTTGAAATGATGCTTAACAGGAGGCATCCAGTTAGGAATGCTCTGAGTTGTTTCCAGATTGCCCGGAGCACTTACTATGGTTCCTCTTCTCCATGTAGGAAATGGGGCATTTATGTGCTTTACTTAAAATATCCATGGAGGATAGTATTTGATTCATAGTCCTGGAGCTTTTCTCCTAAAAAGAGAGGAGAGAAGCTGGGTGCCTATCATAAGTTCCAAGGCTTTCCCCCAGATACTGAA